TCACAATCTTCTTTCCCTCCTCCTCTTTCCCCTCTCTTCCTCCCTTTCCCTCTTCCCTTGTGGGCTCATTGTGCGCGCATGTGCTCTGAGCCTGTTAAATCCTCCAATTAAAGGCTTCTAACAGAGAAGAGGGAAAATTAAACAATGCCTATATTTCTTCTCCTCATTTTCAATGTGTGCTCTGTCTGTTCCTAGACTGTACTCGACTATGATGCAATTTGCTAAATCTTTACTTTAAACTTAAAGGAAAATGGAGCATCAGCTGAAAAAAGGGTTAACAAGTTATAGGTGATTTTTAATGTTTTACTCCATATTGTGATTTTTAGAGAAGTAACAGAATATGTATATTCCTAAGTATTACATTGTAGCTAATTTCTCCAAAGATGATAATTCTGAGATCTCACTATTTTTTTTTTTTTTTTATAGAATAAACCTTTTTATTTTCTCGATAACCAATTTTTTTTTCAAATAGAAGTGTAAACTCCTGTGTGGGGGGGAGAGGGGGGAAGGGGAGGGTAACCCCTTATAATGGAATATATTACATTTACTTTTTATTTTCTCATTTCTTTTATAGAGGGTGAAGAAAATGATCAAACAAAAGCTGATGATAAAACTGCAAAAGATCAGACCCAGGCACCAAAGCAGGAAAGCTAATACCCCTGCACAATAAACCTTATTTAACATTTTCTAAAGGTTCTAAATTTCATAGCAATATCATACATTGTAGCAGTGAAATGAAGGAGTGCACCGTGGATACAAAAAATATGAACATATCAAAGAATTTAAATCAACGAAGGGACACTTGTGATGGATTTTTTCTTAATTTTCCAACAAGCAATGGCTGAAATGTTTAGAAAAATCATTTTGATCACGTGAAAATTTAACAAAATGCCATTTGAAAAGCCACGGATACTTTTATAATGAGTGCAGTTATGTTTTAAATTTCTGTGTTTGTTTTCTTTTTCTTTTTTTTAACACTAGAGAGGTTCAAATATGTTATGCTGCAAGGCTTCCATGGTACATTTCCTGGATCAAAGCTTACATGACGTTTAAACAAGAGGAAACATGGTTAAAGACAATTTCTGTTTTTATTTACAAAAGATTAATATTTTACACTGCCCTTGGTCAAAAAAATATACAACTGCACCGTTAACACTTAATGAAAGGGCTGTTATTACATGGTTTTGTTCTTTTTTTGCATTAATTTGATAAATGTAATCACTTTACACAAACCAACATTTTGTGCCAATAGAATTAACGTCAGATTGTTCCGCAGTTTTTAGTTAGTGGGCAGCTAGTACATTATGAGATATTCTGTGGTTAATTAGCATCAAATTAACTCACTGTGTTGTGTGATATGTGTCTGGTTTAAACAATCTCACTGTGGCTTAGATGTTACAAATATCGTACAAAAAGTTGTTTTTTTCTAAAGTTTCTATAGGTTACAATCTTTAAACTTTTTTTTTTAATTAGAATTTGTTTTTCACAATTCCCAGAATTCACGTGACATCATTTTATAATTCATTATAATAGAGAATAATGCACTACTGATATTGTTAAGAATTACTGAGTACTATAAATGCACTGAGGAACTGGGTGCCAGTATTTGCGCACGTAGAGTCCTTCCAAAATTAGTATCAATTTCTAACACTGTATTTGTTATATTTGTAATAGTGCACTTTTTAATGTTTGTAAATTTTACTAAATTAATAGTGTTGTTGTTTATCAGTTCTAATAACTAATAAAATTTAACCAAGTGGCTTATGGTTATTGATTGTGAGTTCCTACCTCTCACAGCCTACATCTTATAAAAACACATTTTTCTTTTTAACTTATTTTTCTTTTCTTTTTTTCTTAACTGTTTTAAGTTATGGATCTATTCCAAGTTTGAAAACGCAACTAAGACTTTTTCCATCTAATCTATTTTAGTCTAATATGAGTAAATTAGTTCTCACCATAACTTGACGTGGATAGACACTCAGTGCTAGACAAAGTAGCACACTACTGCATACATACTTGTCAATTTGAGAATAGGACAATACCAGTTTTCACAATTCCCAGAATTCACTTGACGTAATTTTTATATTTATTATAATAGAAAATAATGCACTACTGACATTGAAGCAATTCATATTATTGGTGACATGCCCACAGAAGAAAGGGAGTGTTGTCGCACTTGCACCAGAATGACAGATCTCTAACATGGCGGCCATGCTAGGCTGCCCATTTGAAAAGCAGGACAAAATCACCCTTGTATAATCTGAATTCCCTTAGAATACTTGCTAAGTGCAGAACAAGAATATTTAGGTTATTTAGAAAATGTAGCACAACCATAGCTAACATTTAGTTAGCTGGTTGACTGGAGTGTTAATTCTTTCCATATTACATCTGTTCTCTTTTTCTACAACCATTATTTGCCTACGACAAAAAATGGAGGAATACAGATATACAAAATGTTTGCAAATTTAATTTAGAAAAATACTCAGATGAACTTGCTGCAATTGCCAGACACATAAAAAGTAGGAAACCTAAAGTCACATGCACGTGTAAACAAGATATAGCCAACAGTAACAGTAGCAGTTATGGACAATGTTTATGTTTACGTTGCTGAGTGACAATCACCTTAATTATCTGTACATTCTTAGGTGTACCATATGACGCCAAAGTCACATATTTAATCAAAGAAAACAAGCAAGCGTAACTAGTTTACTTTATATTGTTTGCAACTTTTCATTAAGGTTCCTAGTTTACATGCAGTTTTTCTTTACCTTTTCAGCTAAATTTACTATTTTTAGTAAAGTGATGGTGAACTTGTGGTATGGGATGGCTGTCACTGTTTAAAAAACAACTGTCATCAAATGTTCACTTACATTTAATGAAAATTAAATATATTTTTCAGAGATTTATTTGTACATTGCATATTATTATTTTTATTATTGGTTATTATTTATATAGTGCCAGCTTACTCCTCAGCGCTTTACAATAAGAGGGGAATCTACCAAATGAGACAATAACAAAATGTAAAAGGAACAATAGGTAGTTGAGGACCCTGCTCAAACAAGCTTACAATGTAGATGAGGTGGGGTATAAAAACACAATAGGAAGGGTATTAAGGAAGACAGCAAATAGACATGGTGGGAAAGTAGCAGAACTGGAGGTGAGAATGTGGCCCTTTAGGAGAGAGCAAGTGGAAGGATTCAGAGATAGAAGTTACTCTTGGAGGCCATAAGCAATCCTGAAGAGATGGGTTTTGAGGGATGGAAGACTAAGGGAGAGCCTGACAAGGGTAGGCAGGCTGTTCCAAAGGAAAGGAGCAGCCATGAGAAGTCTTGCATTCGTGAATTTGCAGTAAGGGTGCGAGCAGCAGACAGGAGAAAGTCACAATTAGAGCGGATAGATCGAGAGGAGACATATGAATCAGTGTAGAAATTTAAGAGGGGCTAGAGTTGGTTAGGGCTTTATAGGTAAGGGTTAGTATTTTAAAATACCTGTAGGGTATGGCTATGCACCATCACTCACACACTCTGCACCCCTGACACTCGCAGCACCCTCACACACACTGCTTCCTCACACGCACATAGCAACCTCACGCAAACACAGCACCCATCACTCACACACAGCACACGCACACTACACCCCTTACACACACACACACACAGCACCCTCACACACACTGCACAATACGCTTTCCTAGCATTTTTGTCTCCTGGTATCCAGTGGTGTATCCTGTTTTTGTGCTGCCCTCTTCCCCGCCTTCTAAATACACACACACACATTCACTGACAGACACACAAACACTAGCTAACAGACATGCATACACTCTCACTAACAGACACACACAAACTAACAGACACACACACACACTCACAGACACACATATACACACACTAACAGACACACACTCACTAACAGACACACACACTCTAACAGACACACACACACACTAACACACATTTTTTTTTTTTTAAATTCAATCCCCCCAGCCTCCTTACCTTTGGGAATGCTGGGGTGGATTCTCATTTCCCTGGGGTCCAGTGGGGCTGCTGGGCTGCCAGCCGGTGACTGCAGGCAGCCAAGGGAGCACTGATCCTCCTGTTCAGCTCCCTCGCGTGTCGCAGAGTGATGCCGAAAGCCGGAATATGACGTATTCTGGCCCGCCCGCCTGGATTGTCAGTTAGCCGCCAGGCTAACAAGACATTTGCCTGGCCTTTTGGGGGCGGCTTTTTTTGCCTGGAAAGTGCCGCCCAAAGCAAATGCCTTGTTTGCCTCGCGGCTAATAAATCCCTGCTGGTATCCCATCTATGGAGACACAAGAGACAAATTTCAAGCAAACACTGTGCAAGCATGTTATTAAATTTGTTTGCGCTGTGCAGAACAAATACAGGGTCTTTTTTTCATGCTAGAGTTCTTCAGCAGAGCTCTGTTCATGGTCTACCCTGGAAGAGCATTGAACCAAACTGCTCACTTTGTGATGGGGCGTGCTTGTCACTGGTGATGACAAAACACACCCTATCTGGCACCGCCCCCTTTTTAGTGGGCCGCTGTAATTAAAAAATGCCCGGGCCGAATTTTCTTCCCAGTCTGGCCCTCTTCATCACAGATTGAAGGGGGGCAGTACAGCTTCTGGGGAGACCAATTAGGAAGGAATTACAGTAATCCATGCAAGAGATTACTAGAGCATGAACAAGCTTCTTGGCAGCATCTTGCGTAAGAAAGGGGCGTTTCCGGGCAAATGTTTTTTAAGCTGCAATCGACAAGTTTTAGCAACAGACTGGAAAAAAATCACTTTTTAATCTGGTTGAGCTACTGTTACCTGATCAACTGTTGCTCAACATAACACGCCTATTGTTGTGATTGTTCTATGTGAAACTGTGATAGATTCAAAAATAAAAAGTGAAAACTTGATGTCAGTTGTCCTTTACCACTTAGAGTCATTGTATTGAGACTTGAGTATTGACTTACTGTGCCATGATATTGCCAAATGACCTGCGGCAAAGAGGGTTGAAATCTGTACACATGTAATATTTTAATTCAATAGAAGAAGGAAGACAGAGAATGACAATGGTGGGGAACGTTATGAGAGGACACATTTAAATTGGTGCTTCATTTATGTGCTCAGGTTCAAAAACCATTCCTCCTCACTGTGTTAGCAGTACACACAGAGCCGGCACTACCGTTAGGTAAATAAGGCATTCGAATTGGGTGCCAATTCGTCGGGGGTATCCACCGGAGCGTTTCCTGGTGGGCTGCTCCTGTCTAGGGCCATTGTTCTGGGCAAGCAACTCTTTAGATAGCCCCCACTGCAGCTATTGGCTGTTGGGCTCCCTCTGCCTTCATGTCGCTGTTGATTTCTGCTTAAACGGTGTTTACGGTAGAACGTGATGCTTCCTGGAGGAAGGGGAAGCTGGAACGTGACTGCCCTGTGCCTGTTAATATCGGAAACCCTCCACAGGGGGCAGGAAGCAGCTTATGTTCACATTGAATGGCTCTGCTCCGTTAATGTGAAAGTGTGGATGTGGCATGGTTGGGAGGGTTAAGTATTACAGACAGGGATGAGTGTGAAAGGGCTGGGAGGTGAATGTAACAGTGAAAGAGATGTTGAATGTGACAGGTTTAGGTGTGTTAATGTGATAGGGTTAGTGTGACACAGAGAGGTGGTAGAGCATTGCTGAGGTAACTCACGGCAATGCTCTGATTGGCTGAGATCGCGAGACACTACTTCACAGTCTGCAGCTCTGCACCCGGCAGAGCTGGAGACCAGAGGTTGTACTGGGCTCTCTTTCAGGGCAGACTGAGTGGTGGGGCCCCGCACCTGGCGGCATACAGGGCCCGACAGGCTTGAGAAGCTGCACTGAATATAACAGTTAACTAGTCTGTAACATATTGAAATTTGAAATCTCACTTTAGTAAATAACCCTGTTAATATATAACTGTCTGAAAACATTAAACATTGAACCGACAGCACACAACACCAGCCACCATAACAACTTCAATGAAATCAAGAGGTTATGATGCCTAGCCTGTCCCTTTAACTGGTTAAGCAATCAGTATTGCTCATGTCCTCATGTCTTGTAAAAGGAGTAGTTATTCATTCAACTGCAACCTGTAGAAAACATCAGTACAAAACAAAATTAAGAAACAATCCCAAATATTTTACCAGAGAAAGCTAGATCTTATTCACCTTTCCAAATAGTGTGAAATTAATATTATGAAAGCCTATATACTGTGGCAATAATAAGATCAATAAATATTTGCTTTGCTAAGGAGTGCACCAGTTGTTGGCATCTCCAGACATGAACAAAAATCTTCTACAATGCCAAGCGCTGAATCACAGTTAATTAAAACCCCACCTTGGCCAAGCATGTTATCAGAATGGAAGGTTGAAAATAAAAATAATTATATATTTATTTATATATTTTTATACTTTATTAAAGTGTGAATGTTATGAACATAGTTTTACATTTATACCGAAAAATGGAACTTGAAACCTAGTTCCAAAAATAAAACCAATAGTCAAACTATGCCATGAATTATTGAAGATCAATTGCAGAATGTAAAAAAAAAAACTGAAGTCCTCAGCACTGTTTCAAGCTGTTCTAGTTCTCGTTATTACCTTCACTGCTTATTTAGTGTCTTCATTTTCTGACACTGCATCCTCCCCATTAGCTTTTAATTTGTCACTCTGCGGTTTTGGCATACTCTCTATTGTCATTAAATAAAAACCCCTGCTTTCCAGGACACATTGTGCTGCCAGGGCGTAAGAATGAAATGCTGCACCCTCCCGCGTCCCCAGTGTGTGTAGTGAATGCAGTGTCTGTGTAAGGGGTACAGTGTGTATATTGTATGCAGTGTGTAGTGAATGGATTGTGTGCATGTGTATAGTGAATGCAGAGTGTGTGTGTATAGTGGATGCAGTGTCTGTATTTGTGTAATGGATGTGTATTGTATGCAGGGCTCGAGTCCTGCAGGAACGCATGGGAACGGCGTTCCTGCACTTTTTCCATAGCAGGAACGCCGTTCCCGTTACCTGTCCTGCAGGACCGGCCCTGCTACCTGCACAGTGGGGTCATCACACGCTGTGTTCCCCCTTCAGCTCTAACTCTCGCGAGACCCGCGGCTGTTACCATGGCAACGCTCCGCACAGGCGAGTCTCGCGAGAGTTAGAGCTGGAGAGGGAACACAGTGTGCGATGGCCCCTGTGTGCAGCGGCTGGCTCCTCCACCGGACCACCAGGCGATCTCCCCCCTCCCTGACAAGGTAAGAAGCAGGGAGGGGGAATAAAATAAAAAAAATATACATAAAGTAAGAAAAAAATGCTTCCCCCCCCCTCCACACATCATCCAGCACTCACACACCCATCATCCAGCACTCACTCACTCACACACCCATCATCCAGCACTCACACACCCATCATCCAGCACACACACACCCATCATCCAGCACACGCACACCCATCATCCAGCACACACACACAATCATCCAGCACTCACACACACATCATCCAGCACTCACACACACATCATCCAGCACACGCACACACATCATCCAGCACACGCACACACATCATCCAGCACACACACACACATCATCCAGCACCCCCACACACATCATCCAGCACTCACACACCCATCATCCAGCACTCACACACCCATCATCCAGCACACACACACACATCATCCAGCACACACACATCATCCAGCACACACCCATCATCCAGCACTCACACACACACATCATCCAGCACTCACACACACACATCATCCAGCACTCACACACACATCATCCAGCACTCACACACACACCCATCATCCAGCACTCACACACACACCCATCATCCAGCACTCACACACCCATCATCCAGCACTCACACACCCATCAACCAGCACTCACACACCCACCATCCAGCACCACACACCCATCATCCAGCACCACTTCACTACACACCTATCATTCAGCACACTTCACACACATCATCTAGCATTGGCCACACACACATCAGCCCAGCACTCACAATACCTATCATCCAAGCAGCACTCAATAATATCATTATCATCTGTTAACACACACAATACGTCTATCCAGCACACACGCCACACATCAATCAGCACCTCACACACCCATCACTAGCACACACACACACATCATCCAGCGCCATACCAATCTATCATCTGCTACCACACACACACACCCATCATCCAGCACACACACACCCATCATCCAGCACTCACACACCCATCATCCAGCACTCACACACACATCATCCAGCATCCACACATCATCCAGCACACACATCATCCAGCACACACACACATCATCCAGCACTCACACAAACACCCATCATCCAGCACTCACACACATCATCCAGCACACACACACATCATCCAGCACTCACACAAACACCCATCATCCAGCACTCACACACCCATCATGTGTGTGTGTGTATTCAGCAGTCTGTGTGTGTGTATGTATTCAGCAGTCTGTGTGTAACAGTGTTTGTGTATTCAGCAGTCTGTGTGTAAGTCTTTTTGTATTTAGGTGTGTGTGCGTGCGCGCACTCAGCAGTCTGTGTGTGTGTGTATTCAGCAGTCTGTGTGTGTATTCAGCAGTCTGTGTGTATTCAGCAGTCTGTCTGTGTGTATTCAGCAGTCTGTGTGTGTATTCAGCAGTCTGTGTGTGTGTGTGTATTCAGCAGTCTGTGTGTGTGTATTCAGCAGTCTGTGTGTGTATTCAGCAGTCTGTGTGTATTCAGCAGTCTGTGTGTAACAGTGTTTGTGTATTCAGCAGTCTGTGTGTAAGTCTTATTGTATTTAGGTGTGTGTGCGTGCACGCACTCAGCAGTCTGTGTGTGTGTATTCAGCAGTCTGTGTGTGTGCTGTATTCAGCAGTCTGTGTGTGTGTACTCAGCAATCTGTGTGTATTCAGCAGCATCTCTGTGTGTGTGTGTACTTAGCCATCTGTGTGTAACAGTTTTGGGTATTCAGCAATCTGTGTGTGTGTGTATTCAGTATCTGTGTGTGTGTCTGTATTCAGCAGTCTGCGTGTGTGTACTCAGCAATCTGTGTGTATTCAGCAGCATCTGCGTGTGTGTGTGTGTGTGTACTTAGCCATCTGTGTGTAACAGTCTTTGTGTATTCAGCAGTCTGTGTGTAAGTCTTTTTGTATTTAGGTGTGTGTGCGTGCGCGCGCACGCGCACTCAGCAGTCTGTGTGTGTGTATTCAGCAGTCTGTGTGTGTGTATTCAGCAGTCTGTGTGTATTCAGCAGCATCTGTGTGTGTGTGTGTGTGTGTATTCAGCAGTCTGTGTGTAACAGTCTTTGTGTATTCAGCAGTCTGTGTGTAAGTCTTTTTGTATTTAGGTGTGTGTGCGTGCGCGCGCACGCGCACTCAGCAGTCTGTGTGTGTGTATTCAGCAGTCTGTGTGTGTGTATTCAGCAGTCTGTGTGTATTCAGCAGTCTGTCTGTGTGTATTCAGCAGTCTGTGTGTGTATTCAGCAGTCTGTGTGTGTGTGTATTCAGCAGTCTGTGTGTATTCAGCAGTCTCTGTGTGTGTGTATTCAGCAGTCTGTGTGTATTCAGCAGTCTCTGTGTGTGTGTATTCAGCAGTCTGTGTGTATTCAGCAGTCTGTGTGTGTGTATTCAGCAGTCTGTGTGTAACAGTGTTTGTGTATTCAGCAGTCTGTGTGTAAGTCTTTTTGTATTTAGGTGTGTGTGCGAGCGCGCACTCAGCAGTCTGTGTGTGTGTATTCAGCAGTCTGTGTGTATTCAGCAGTCTGTGTGTGTATTCAGCAGTCTGTGTGTATTCAGCAGTCTGTGTGTGTTCAGCAGTCTGTGTGTATTCAGCAATCTGTGTGTGTGTATTCAGCAGTCTGTCTGTGTGTATTCAGCAGTCTGTGTGTGTATTCAGCAGTCTGTGTGAGTGTGTATTTGGTACCAATATTTATAAGCTTTCCGGGGTGGGGGGGGGTTATAATGCTGTTACGATGGCCCTGGTCTAGGGTATGTGAGTGCTCTGATCACGCTCCTACAAAATGTAAACGAAAAGACGCTGATTTGAGTACGAGGAATGGGCCACGTCTGGCCAGGAATACGTAAATGTGTACGTTATTTTTTTTTTTTTTACTAATGGGTGTTTTTTATTTTCACAATCTGGTCACCCTGTATGTAAGTGACACGTGTCTAGGAAGCATGGTGGTTGCCCTAGTAACAGATACATCCTGAGTATTTAAACTGATAGGACAGCCTATGCGCACGCGCACTCTC